TTGATGGATACCGCATATTGCCATGAATCTAACATTATCCATGCATACTGCATATTTAATGGATACATGCAAATACGCAACATGAAAAATACATCATTTCGCTTCAGGTCAATGCATTCACAATTTTATTATACTTGGGCATCAGTCTCTTTAAACTGAAAGGGAAGCCCATAAAATATAATAACCTCTCCAATGTTGTACCATTAAATTTCAATATGGATTCAGGTCATAGATATACCAAAACATATGTATAAATTATAATTTGGTAAAATACTAGATACACATGGGTGCATGCACTCAGATTTTAAAGGATCAAGGTTCCCAATTCCTTTAAACTGGTGTGATCCCCACATAAAAGATGATGCACAATTCATATAATCTGTAATCATCTTTAAATAGACAATGTCAACGCACTCAGACGAATGTAATCTCATGACTACAGATTAGTAATGGACAAAATCATTACATCAAATGGCAGGCCAATTTATAGTGAGGTTGAAAATTTCCTTTCAGTTAATTGTACTGAAACTAGAAAATGAAAGTAAAAAGCAATACAATAGGAATAAGAAAGTTTCAAAAGTAAAAAAAGAACAATGAAAAAGGATAAAAATATAATCAAGTATCAATGAGAAAGCAATTAACAAGTTCAGTGGGAGTTGCAGTTCACATTTAGACAATTGATGTAGGAGTCTTTTAATTGGGAAAATGCTGGGACTTTCCAATCAGCAAAAGAAATGTAAACTTCTTTATCATGATTATCACAACGGCCAAACTAGAAAGTTTATCCCTACTGAAAGGCTGCAAACATTTTGAGAGAAATGATCAATGAATGTGTAAATGTGTAATGCATTTGTTTGGATTGATGGATGTAGAAGATACAGCCAATGGTCTAAACTTGACACAACTTTTTCTTCTTGATGTAGACTTACTTGAAGAACAAGAAAAAACATACATTAAACAAGTGGGTGATACCTATGTGCACAAGTAATGGAATCAGCAGGTTTTAATAGTCAATTTCTAGCCATTAAGAACTGCAAAGAAAATAAATTAGCAGCATAAAACATACAAGATGTGAAGCAAAGCAAAAACTGGGTAAATTGTTCACATACTTGGTCATGGATAAGTAATTACCTGGAAGGGAGTGAATCCTTGAGGACAAGGGCACTTCATCAGTTCAACCCTTGAGGAACCATAGATCCAAATAAAGCAGATCAATCACCAGTAATCACCACAAGAGCAAACTCCATCCTGAAAGTGATGGAATCGATTGATATTTCTGACAGTAATATCTCGCTGCACAACCTTTGATATTAACTTCACTGTGGCATGGCAATCCATACATATCCGAAGACTTTTTATGATACGAATGGGGCTCCCAGATGGTGCTCTATCCAGCCCAAATGCTAGAGCAAATCTTTCACTGTGTACCCACAAGAGGCACTTTTTTTCATCGTCCACCACATCAAGCAAAATGGCATTACAATTGGGGTTCTCAATTTCAACGAATCCAGCATGCCATCGATCAGTTTCATATCAGGATGTGAAGTATCGCCCACAGTGAATTAATGAACTGTGTCCTGGTTCTCAATCTAACTTAGGCCAGGTTCCTTATTTACTCCTTTCCTTCTCATGTTTTTTATAACATAAGCTACATTATTTCATCTCTTCACGGTGGCATATATGTTTGACAATAACACATGGGTCGCCTCATCCTGAGGATCCATTTCAAGAACATGCTTGGCAGCCGTCCTTCCAAGTTCAATATCATTATGGAGAACACAAGCTCCAAGCAAAGCACGCCACACTATAATACTAGGTTCACATGGGATTTCCTGAATCAACTTCACAGCCTTATCAAGATGGCTTTTCTCCCTAAAAGCCCGACCATACAAGTGCAGTGCTCTATGCATGGTTCAACATTATAGTCCTGTACCATAGAGTCAAAATAAGGTAGTCATTGATCTAACAGTCCTGCATTGCTACATGCTGACAGGACACCAACAAAAATTAACTTGTTTGCTTTGCAATTTGTTTCCTGCATCATTTCAAAAAAATTTAGAGCCTCAAGGCCAAGGCGATGTATAGAAAGAATATCCTGAGATCATGGTATTCCATGAAACCTAATCTCGTTGCTTCAACTTATCAAACACCAGGCCAGCATCTTTAATGTTCCCACATTTGGCATACATGTCTATCAATGAATTACCCACTAGTATGGTTTTGACAGTTAAAGAATGTATCTGAACTCCTGGCTCCAACGCTGCTAGGCCAGAAGAAGCATGGAGAGCATAGAGTACGTCACTTCTGTTGCCTCGACTTGGCATCTAAGCATATCTTGAAACAACATCAACGCCTTCTCTCCATCATCTAACTGGGCATAAACAATCATCGTGTTCCAAGATACATAATTTCTATTTAGTGATCCTAATCTCCACAAATAAGTCCATAGAGTCCTCTATCTTTCCACATTTACCATAGACACCCATGAGGGCATTTGAAACATAGAACAGAATCAATACCAACCTTGGTTACATGGCAATGGATTTGCTTCCTGAAAACTAAATGCTCCATAGTTGCACAAGCTTGCAGCATGCTAGCATATGTAAACTGGTTGGGAACAACAAATGCTGGCCTCATCCAACAAAACAAGTCCAGAGCCTCTTCGCAGCGGTCACTCTGAGCAAACCGTGAAACCATGAGGCTCCAAGCAACCGCATAATTTTTGGGCATCACTTGAAATACTTGCCGAGCCTCCACAATATCTTCAAACTTGGTGCACATATCAAGCAATGCTGTACTCAAATACAGATCCCCTTCATAAAATGATTTTATTACACACCAATGGACACTCTTCCCTCCATTTAAGGCCTCTAATCCACACAAGCCCTAAGCGTACCCGTAAAAGTATAGTTATTTGGCCTGAACCCAATCACCCTCATTCGAGAGAAGAGTTTGAGCTTCTTCAGAACAACCATTCTCTGCATAACATGCTACCATCCCAGTCCAAACAACCATATCCTTACAAACAATATCAACAAAACATCTCTAGAAACATCGACTTAACGAAATAACATTTATCTCACACATTTCATCAAACAGGTTAGCGGCATCAATAAGCATACCCGCTTTGACATACATATTGAGAAGAATGTTGTCGGTAAACAAGTCCAAGCAGCCGCCTTTTTTTCAAAATCTCGCAATGAAGGCCCACTGCGGAAGTTGAATAGCCGTTGCACAGACAGTGCTGGACCACGGCGCCGTATGCGTGAGAGTCGAACTCGGAGGTGGGAAGCTCTGGGTGGAAGGTAAAGTGTTGTGGGACCAGTTGGGCAGCGAACCCACATCGTGAAAAGGTTGTCACGGCGGTGGTTGTTGATTGAGTGGCGAGATTTGCAGACTGCAACGTTCTTTGGCAGCAATCTAAGTATGCCAACGAAAACTGAAAACAAAGAAATATGTAAAAGTTGTGAACTTTGGCTTCCTGTAGGAAACACCACTCTCCCTTGAGACTTTGAGAAAGGGCAATATGTTACAGGGGGAAGGCTAGTCACCTAGGCGACATCAACCACTTTTTTTTTTTTTTTTTTTTTTTGGTACAGCGATATATTTACACCAAAGGAAGAGAGAATTCGGCTAAACCACATAATTGGCAACCTAATTTTGTATCAAATTCGAAGACCCAAAAAACACCAAGCCTCAATGTACCCACCAATGCACCAATAAGTTCTTGAAGCGCAAAATATAAAAAATAAAAATAAAAAGTAAAAACTAAAGCTAAAGCTAAAAATTTTGAAATTCAAGAAAGTAGTTTTTAGTTAAAAAAAAAAAGTGAAAACAAAATGGTTATCAAACGCATCATTAGAAAATAAGTATTATCGTTCTGGATAAGTCATTATAAGTATTTTATGTTTTAAGTTATTGCAATTCTTTGTCATTTTATTAATAAAGAAATAATGCATTTTACCTCACTGACTCTCAAATGAAATGCAAAATGATCTTTTAGTAGTTTATGTTTTATATGTAAGAGAAATGTAGAATGATCCCTTCAGAGTTCCCTTTTTCATGTAGGAGAAGTGCAGCATAATCTTTTGAAATGGCAATAACATTTCTCGTTACTCTAACTTTCGTGACAATCATAGCACCGATAGATCATAGCGAATAAACAGTAAAAACCAGCTGAAGCTTAATCAGGCAAAACAATTCGCTCTGTAGATTTTTAGATCAAAATAGGTAGTTCGTTTTCATAAATTAAAACAAAGTGAGAGATTGATTGAATGGAAGGTCATTTCTTTTTTGGTACAACGATATCCTAAATTACTCTAAATTTACGAAGAGATCTAAAATCCACCAGCAAGTAGGTAAACACACAAATCCGGCAAATGATTAGTTACATGCAGGAAGGACTGTCGCAACGAAACCATAAAATCTGCAAACAAAATATTGCATCGCAGTTGCCTGTAAATCTCAAAGCTCTTTAACAGAAACAGAAAACCTGAATTCATCAAGAACAAGATGCCAATCCAATGCAATTTGAGAGACATTCCTACACAAAGGTTGCAAGATTTATTCCGGTAACAAGGATCGCAAGTGCAGTATGTTAAGGATAGACGAAAATGACAACACACAACGTTAATTAGCACCATACACTTCGTACAGAGCAGCTTAAGATATCGGCGTGCAGAGAGAGAATGAAATCTACAGAACTCAAATGCAATCAACTACAACACATGATCCAATTCTAATCATCAGAACACTCGCTCATAATACCAAAGGGTTATCGCTACGCAAGGGAAATTCCAGATTCAACTACAAAAGCTCCCTGTATGCAAACTAAAAACCTTACTCTCTTAAATAAAGATAGATATGGAGCACAAGCTGAATCCGTGATTCAGTATTCAGCCCTCCGACTAAATAAAACAATGTGAAACCCAACATTCGAGGCCAAATCACTTGCAAAGCATTTGCATACCAACACACAATATACATTGAAAACAATTTGGTGCATCGATGAACAAAAGTAGCAGCTATAACATTTCCATGACAGAAATTGATCACTGATAATCTTTATATGGAACTTAAAAGGGCAGGCATATGAACACTTTAAACAATCCATAAGAAGTGCAAAAGGTAATGTAACCACCAAAATTAACTAAACATTCATAACACTACACTCTCATGGTAAGGTCCAGACCGCTGCCCTAACAAATTACATATTCAAAAGACTATAAAGAAAAAAGCAAAGGCAAAAACGAGGAGAAACAATATTTCAACCGTAAATCACCCTCACAAAGCTCTTCTGCAATTTGCCAAATACATGTAAATGCGATCAAAGCACCAGCATCAGTCCCCCTTTCTTCTGAAAGAGCAACCCTCGGTGAGCCTGGCTCGGCCTCCAGTAGGCTGGCACAACACTGTCTGGCAGTTCCCACACACCACAACTGTTTGCGAGTGACTGAACACGGTTGTTCTGCGCAAATGGTTTTCACTTCGTCACACTTACACCCAAATTTAAATCATACATAGAAACTACTTCAACAAAATGATCTCAACGAGCACAGGAAAATATCGAAACAGGCATCATTACTTACATGCTGAAGCATCCTTGGCACTTAACATCCTGGGCGCATTTAAAACAATCAAAATTAACAATCTTCACCAAAGAAAACAAAAATTATACGAAAACTCAAACGTCAAAAAAAGCATACGCAATCGATAATTACGTACTATTAGATTAGTTACCATGAAAAAAGAGTTGGGCGTCTGCACAAGCCTCTTGAGCTTGTGCTTCCTCTTTTCGAGCTCAGCTGGTGGGTGAAGCAAGTCGATATCGTTCTGAAGCACCTGTTTACAACCAGCCATCAAAATCCACTACTAATCAATCCATTTTCTCACAACCCCATTATCTTTCCCAATTAATTTAACAAAAACAGAACGACCCAATTCAAAAAATGGCTCAGCAGTGACATTCAACACATTAAACCAGTTTAAAAAAGAACAGGCGATATGGGAAACTGGGGATAAATCTGTGAGCCGAATGAAAATACCGATTCCGATCAGAAAAATCGGTTGAAAATATTTGAAAAACAAGAAATTTATGTGTTGGGTTCTAAGTTCTAACCATCTTGATCGATGCAGATTGTCGCAAACCAGAAAACACAGAGCTGCAAGAACCTTTAGAGAGAGCTGGAGTGCGTGAGAGGAACGACTGAGAAGATTTTAGGTTTTATAAGGCTATGAACATAAACGAGTGTCTGAGTGATGTGGGCCGTCGGATCCAACAATAACTTAATCTCCGCCTTTACCGCCATTCGGGGCATTATCATCCTTTAAACATTATAACTAGATAATACGACGTTTGGTAAAGATGTGAGTTATTAGCAGAAGCAATTAGGATTTCGGGGTTCTCGTTCCTCCCCTCCATATATAACGCCATCTACCGATTCTTCTTCTATGGTGTCTTCGTCCTACGATAGCTCCGTAGGATATGACTAGACACCGCCCAACACTTTCTTTCGCCGCCATGCTTGTGAGAGCTGGAGTACGGTAAATTCCGATAAGGGGAGTCAGCTCGCCACTAAGGTCATCTCCAACCGAAGGCTGATTAGATAACTCGTTTCAATCATCCGGTCCTTTAAGATATTAATATTTTAATAACCAGTACAGGGTCATATTTGCCTACATCTCCAACCGAGGGCCAAAAGGCTATATGACTCGTTTTAACCCTTTCACAAAAACTCATCTCCAACGGAGGGCCAAAGGGTCATAGGGCCTAACATAATTTATTATTTAAATTTAAAAACTACAACAACTTAAATTTTAAAACAACAACAACTTAAATTTAAAAACTACAACTTAAATTTAAAAACTACAAATTAAATTCATACATAAAAAATAAAAAAAATTGGCACAAAAAAAATTTAATCCAACAATAACTAGCCGTTGTATTTGAAATTTTGGCCTACCATTACCGACAAGAATAAGTACAATGTTATCGGCTATAACCGACATGAATAATGAAAATTATGGCCCAGCCCGGGACTAGCTAGCTAGCTGCTTTGGCCTAGCCAATTGGCCCTTTGACCTTTTTTTATCCGGTGGGACCCACGATTCTTTTGGCCTAACCCTCAGTTGGAGACAATTTTCAGATTATTTTCAACCCTTTGACCATCTAGATCATTCAGTTAGAGATGACCTAACAATCATATTCATGCAAACACCACACATACGGACGCATGCGTGACCTGCATTACTCCGCCAGTTGGTAGGAATGTTTGGGTGACGAGTTAGCAAATGAGCTGGACAGATGACCATTGGCACGAGTCTTTCCATTTTAACCAGGTCAGGCCAAATTATCTGACTTGGTCAAAATAACAAATGCAATAAATCTTGAGAAAATAGTATCCTTAGTTTATCATTACTTAAATCCTTTTTTCATTTTGTTTTTTACATTCAATATTATCTACATTAAAAGGGATGGGTGAGTTTAGCCTCATAATGAGCTAGCTAGCAATATTATGGTTCAAATTAGCTTTTTATGATAATCAAACCTACGACCTCTCACTTACAAGTGAAGAAAAATATCATTAGACCATAGTACTAAGTGCCCAACATTCTACTTAGCATTGACAGCACTTGTATTTGTATAGTGTAATAGCATCTGTTTGGTTTCTTGTAAACAACAAAATTTTCTTTTTGTAAAAGTGCTACTTACAAAAAACGTTCGTAAGTAAAAGCATTTTACGGAGAAGCATAACCAAAAATACTTAATAATTTTATTTAATGGTTAGAACAGGCTCAATATCAAACCATTCCAATACAACTGCTAGCCCAAACAATAAGCTTTCCGATTTTGCCCTTAACAACAAGTTTGTGACCGTTTATTTGGTTTGTTTCATGTTGGGAACAAAAACAACTACTTGCTCTCATTTCATTCTTTCAAATTTTAGATTATTCATAAATCTTCTGTACAGTAACAAATCACACAAAGTAAAAAGTTACGAGTTCGTATTGACACTCTTTTTCTTACAAGACCCACCCAATGAAACTCAATATCCAGGGAAATCGCGCTCTCCCAAAATGATGCTTCCACCTACTTCTCCTTCGGTGGTCTGTAATTTCTTAATTCCAAATTCTTTAAAAAAAAAATTCTTTCTTATTTTTTCTTTTGTTGCATTGAAAGAGTGAAGATTTGGGAGCCTCCAGAAAACTTGACCTTTGCTATTTTTTTTTTAAATAGTCAAACTTAACTTGGGTACCTTTCACAGAATTCATACAATGCCCATGATATGTGCTCTCTATTACACAGATCGCGTTATCAAAAGCTAGTGCTGCTCATGCCTGTTTTACTACCATAGTGGGCTTGTTTCAAACGCTTCTGTAACACAAATTTTTTTTTTTTACAAACAATAACGTTAGTGGATTAATTGTTAGTTGTTAGCTGAGAGGAGGTTGGTAGAAATCGTACTTTCATCATGTTGTATAAATATAATTATTTTTCGTCACTGCATAAAACATCATTCACAACTCAATTTAGATTTGTGAGTCTCACAAAAATGTCACATCCGCACAATAAATGATTGTTTAACCAAATGGAGGACAATGATACTTTAATGACCAGAGAAATAGATGAAATACCAAACTAATGAGTTGTCAAAACATTTAAAAAAACAAATAATTTGTTATAGCACTTCCAACGTGCTCTTTTGCCCTGTGGACATGCTCCATTTGCAATCCAATCCCCTCCCAAAGTGGTGTTAGCCCATTCGGTCAATTGGGCTGAGGGGGAGTATGTGGGAGAGCTGATGCACAAGTCTAAGACCTGAGCGCCAAAGGCGAAGTGATGCAAGGCTAATGTCAACATGATGTCAGCCACGTTATAAAAAAATTTGTGTCAGACACGTGCATAACATGCACGCGTGGGGTGCACGTCATTGACAAGATTTCAAGCGGTGGGGTCCGCATTGCAGCCCACTAAGTCCCACAGACAAGATTTCTAGATAAACGGTCTAGATTTTTCCGTTTTAAAAATTAAAAAATAAGATAAAACAAAAATGTTTCGGGGGGACACGCGTCACAATATAGATTGTTGGATTTCAAAATTTATTGTAATCCGACTGTTTAGCTCAATTGAGTTAATTAAATTTTTTTTTAAATAATTATAAAAAACCGAAAAAAATTAAAAAAAAATAAAAAAATAAAATATTTTTTTCTATAAGTACCTTACCATTTTATTCCACCTTACATCACATTTCAATATTTTCAACAATTCTAAACATGGAATGACACGATGCGCGGCAGAATTGGTTAAAAATCTTATCGAAATCTATCCACAAAAATTGTACTTTCGGATAATGACATGTGGACATGACGAGATCAGTTAAAAATCCTATCCGAAATTAAAAATAAAATTATTTTTTATTATTTTAGAACATAAAAAATACTGATATTTTATTTCCTATTGTCATGACTATTCAATTTAGAAATAGAGATACAAAAGATAATTACTATTTATTAAAACCAATTACTATTCACCGGAGATAATTGAACTACCTATTGTCAAGCGGTGCTCTTATAAAAATTATACTTCTAAAATTTGTCTTTTCTCTTTAACCTACTACTCTATTTTTATTTTATTTTATTTTATTTAAAAATTAATCTTCATAGCATTATTTTGATAATCTCTTTCCATCACTCTATTTTTTTTTTTTGTTCTGATTTTTTCCCGCAACGAATTTGGAATTCCCCGTCAGATATTCCTGCAAACCCACACCTTCAAATTTCTCGCTCTCAGCATCCCGGCAACGACCCGCCATTCCTTCCACCCCAAGCCACCATCGTTCCCACCAGGAGCGCACACACCCAACCACCCCAAGCCTACTCGCAACCCACTTTTGAGACCATAGTTTTCAATCTCTTCCCCTCGCCATCGGTCCACAATGGAAAGCACCCGCCTAATTTTTAGAAAAATGGAGATGGAAGGATTGCAGTGGCGGCTGGGTGTCTTTGGATGCAGTTACGTACGGAGGGATGGTTGGGGGTGGGAGTCGAAGATCACAGCCTGGACACGGTGGTTGTGGAGGAAAGACAAAGGAGGTGGGGTGGATTCGAAGAAGGAAGGGGGAAGGGAGAAAGAGGAGGATGGGGTAACGGGGAAGGGAGAAAGAGGGAAGAAAAGCAAGGTTGGTCACTAGAAGCTTTAAACTACGCGCGGCAACACCTGATAAGGCCACGCGTTATTTTTATTTTTTTTCTTCAAATTACTAAAAACACCATAAAAATCCTTAATAATTGCTCTACAAGTTTAAAAAACATGCAACGCTGGTGGTTACATCCTCTATTTTTTAATGATGATTAGATCATCATTTGTATTTTTGACATCCGGGAAATTCAGGATGTCATTGTTGGTAAATCAATCCCTAGATTCGAACTGTTGCTTACAACCCCGATATCGTTGCTGGTGAATTAATCCCCAAAATCAATGGGAGGGTAGGGTCGCCATTGAAATGGCGAAGTTTGCAGAGTGTGATTGGGAGAGAGTGAAGAGGGTGTTAGTGGTGTTTTAGTCAAAGTACTTTGATAACAAAAAAAAATTAAGGACTAATAAAGTTTTAGTCAAACAATATTGGTAGTTAGAGAGAGATTTTTCAATGTGACCGGTACATGAAGTAGTACACCACGTGTCACTATACAAACAGTGGAATATGTGTGTTAGAAAATTAATAACTTAAAAAATAAAATTTCCCACCACTTATATTAAAATACGTGGTGTACCACTTGTGTTCCGTTACAATTAAAAATTTCTCATAATTAGGACCGAATCCTAACTTTCACATACATAAATTATCCCAAAAAAAAAAAACAAAATACTATAGGCTAAAGGATTATTAAAAAGGAAAAAAAATTCACGTTTTCTAATGGAAAGTGAAGTCTCATTGAACGAAATAATAATTACAACTCAGTTTATACAAGGGAATTACTATTAGCACTCCAAAAATTTCATTTGGCATTCCAAACTTTCTATTATTAGAAAGAAAAATATACTTATGAGGAGTGTGAAATGAGATTTTTGGAATGCTAATAACAATTCCCACAAGGATTAGACAAATAACAAATTTCTAACTGTACTTCTAACTATACTTCTTGTACTCAGCGACTTACTTCTCTTTAATTTCATACCACTAAACATGCATGTTTTTTCTGCTAGTCATGGTTCGTGGAAGACTTTAAGTTTTCATGCGTGTTTATGGCCTACCAGATTTTTTTTGAGGTCTTAGTCTTCCTTCTGGAGTGCATTTAACATAACGAGTCTTTAGTAAAAGAGTGCCAGTAAATATGAGTCCTGGAGGATGGAGATGGCGTGTCATTTAATAAAATTAGGACTCTACAAATCCTATTTCTTCATTGACTACGAGTTTGATGGTCAACTCTAAG